TGCAATTATCCACTTATATAGCGTTCTTCTATAATATATTTAAGGGCAAATATAAAAAGACCTCCCTCTCCAATTTTTTAAATTTTAAACTTTTTTTTTATATTTTGACATGAAATATAAAATATAAACCCCCCGCCTCCTGGGAGTTCTTAAAATTTAGCGCTGAGAATCAAGGAATTTATTTTATATGGCCTAAACGGTCACATTGTATAAATGTACTTATTTAAGTAAGGTTATCGGCATTAAATACCAGTGTTGTAACGAGTCGAGTCATCGATTCGGACTCGAGTCGCTATTTTCAGCGACTCGACTTGAGTCCAATACGAAAAATGACTCGAGTCGAGTCAAGTCAACAGCCCCAAATGACTCGACCCGGATTAGACTTGCTGATTTTTGCCCTAAATGACTCAAGTCAAATCAGCTACAACTTGTACAGAATAAATTCATCAAAATTATTGTGATTGTATTGCTTAGGAAGAACAATGAGTCTTTCATGTGAACATGAGAACTTCGAAACTTTTTTATCAGAAAATATATGCAGGGATTTGCATAGAAAATATCGTGACGGGCATGCCTATTAGTATTACATTTCTGTTTTTAGAAACTACGCTAGTGCCAGTTTTTAAAATGAGTCTCAAAATTTTGTGTACTTATATTAATTTTGACCGGCTCTTTTCATTTTTGGTATTCAGTATGAAGTGTTATATCATTTTAAATTAACTTACAAAGCGCGTGATTAATTAAAGTCTATTCTTTGTTAATTCTGACTCCAGTTGCAAGTTATGCTAGTTGTATGTACGTACACTCGATCAGCAGGCATGATGAGACATCTCATGTGGTCGTACTTAATATTGACTAGAAATGTGATATTGGTACAGCTTAGCTGCTCAGATACTGCTAAATTTAATGACTAAAGTAATTGCATGGCTTAAAAGGTAAATTTGATTACTAATTTCAGACTACAAGCTAGGGTAGCGAACCATTGCAGAAAGCGTGAGGTGGACTTGATGAAATTGATCCCTGACTAAAGTCAAGTTTAGCTATTGACTCGACTCGACTTAATTAAACCAGTGACTCGACTCGACTCGAGTGAAGCCACTGACTCGACTCGATCAGAAACTGAAATGACTCGACTCGACCTTTGAGTGACTCGACTCGTGACTCGACCTGTAGGTGACTCGTTACAACACTGTTAAATACCTTGACTTGGGTATCAATCGTACTTACAATTAAGTTTCACTATAATTTCGATTGATTTTTCATCGGTTGCATTGATGTAACTTTGGGCCACACACTTGTAAGTTCCATTGTCTGTTCCACCAACATTACTGAGAGTTAATGTTTGTTCTTCTTTTCCTGTTCCACCAATCTGTACGCCATCTTTATACCAAGTTACATCGGCTGGAGGGTTTCCACCTTCACCTCTACATACACATGTGAAATTATCACCTTCATTTACTGTCTCGGGACTGGAACAACTGAATGTCACATTTGGTTGCACTGAAATGTAATGAAACCATATAAGAATTTATTTAGAAAGTCATTTCCACCATTAACGTAATTTAAAACAAAGTCCAAAAATTTACAGACTTCTTTTTGGCAATCCATTTGAAATTTTCAACAAAAGTGCGTGTTGCTCTAGGCGCACACATTTTCTACCATGTTTACTCAATACCAAGGGATTTGAGGTAAATGAACCAAAAATGTGGAATTCCACAAATTAAGTTAGTTTTGTTTTAATTAATGCGTGGGCTATAGTGCACATGAATTATTATTTGTGTTTGGTCAGAGCATGCATAATAGCGGTCAGAGCATGCTAAAGGCGCTATAATATTGCATGTTGTCTTGTATGGTGTAAAGTTCTTCCGGCTTTGATGACTGATTGAAACTTGATATGCAAATATAAAACACTATATTCTTTGGTTTCATATGACGTCACAAAAATGTCGGGGGGTCAACTCTAAAACAAACTGAGTATGTCGATTGTTCGTTTTATGACCTTTTATGTATTAGCCTTGTGTTTGGTGGCAAATGCATGAAATTTCGTATTATTTTCTTACTCGAATACCGTATAAACATCAACATATTTGAAGTTCAACCCCCGTCACATTCACTGCATAATGCCGTAGACCCGTAAAGTGAAACCCAAGAATACCTGCTTCCTGTAGATAGATTTCTAAATTTATGATTAATTCATTAAATTCGGATAACTTCAGTTGATGTTTTCGCCTCGGTTTGTACGTGACTTTACATGTATGTTTGTGTTTTATATGTCAGCTGAAAGATTATTAAACAGTTTATATACGCAACTGTTTGATAATAAAGAAGTTATAACTGAGAATCTGCGGAACAAATGGTCATTAATAGGCCAAGGATCAAATTATCTGCGGGATGAGTGAGTATACTATAATACTATATATATAGGTTATAATCAAACTCACTTGTAGCATAGAAGAGCCACTATGTGGAAATGCTATTAAATCATTATTTTTATTATTATTATTATAGGTTATAACTCTCAAAACTGAGAAATCAAATGACAACATTCTTTTGTTTCTGTGACCTCGTTGTAGTAGTGATTGTACTCGTATTGAAAACTGAGTACTAGGTTATATTCTTAAAACATCACTGGTGAACCGGTTATCTAGTTATCACCTGATGCATTTACCCTTGTGCAGGATGAGCAATGGGCATTATAAACACAAGGACAGTCGACCCTAGCTAGTCGACAGATGCTCCGGGTATTTCAAACTACCACTATAGTGAGTCAATTCTCCAGAATCCCGACAGGCTAATTTTGTTTAATTATAAACGAATATAGTCCCAAACATTCACTTAAACACCCAGAAAACAAAACCCCGCACAAAATCTGTCTCAAGTAACCCTACAAATACAATAAGAACGCCTGAAGAGGAAACTATCTTGAACTTATATGTAATATTCCAGGTTCATGAAAAGGCTTTTTTCCACTCATCGCAAAAACAGCTCGCAGCGAGCTTGCGAGTGCTAGCGAGTATACAGGGCCGCCGAGAGCTTGGTGGGGGCCCGGAGCAAAAAATTTTATAGGGACCCCTATTACAAAAAAAATTTTCCGGAAAAAAAATTTTTCGGACAATAAATTCTTGCGTTATAATTGCTTTCGTTGGACTTTCCGCAATTTTCCATACCAAATTTCGGTTCATTGCCCCCAAAACACAAATATTTTGGCCCGAAAACAGAAATATTTCGCCCGAAAAAATGACTGGGGCCCATTAAATTTCTAACATTAAATTTCTAGGGGCCCCAGAGCCTCGGGGCCCGGGGCAATTTGCCCCCCTGCCCCCCACCCCCCCTTCTCGGCGGCCCTGGTTATTTCCGACAATAATTTTATTTACGGTAATTATGTGTATGTTGATTATTGCCTGATGATAGATGCAGATATATTTCTATGAAATACATTTTTAACTGAAAAATTGTGAAGATTAATTCTTGCCGATGATCGTCGTATTGTAAAATAATAATTATATACAAATATGCAACGGTCAAGCTAAGTGTTACTCTGCTTTGAAAATTACGTAGGCATGCTTACAACAGCGACAGAACTCCTAGCTAACTCCTTGTCTTTTATCTGAAACGATAACACGCGGGAGAAAGCCAATGCCAACGCCACTTCACGCTAACGCCAGCGTGCTGACGCGTAAACCTCGCTGTGATGGCGTATAAGGGGACTGAAACTGACATACTATCAGTCAGCTCGATCTCTTCCGAAAATTAAGGCTATGTCTTAATTGTTCAAATTAAGACATTGCCTTAATTTTAAACCTAACTAACTCCCACCCAACTCCCCTAACCTCTAACCGCTAACCCTAATACTAATCTTAGTCTAACCCTAATCCAATCCAAATCTGGCGAACTTTTTTTTTAATAATTTAAAACATTAATTAAAGAGCTTTGACTTTGACCACTACGTTTTAACACCTTAGTTTTACGTTTTAGAATATGTTGACTACAACTGATGGCTGTAGTTCGCTATACATGGTGTATTAAAAAAAAACAGAGTCCATCTTTTGCACTTAATAGGCCGTGGGATGAGCATCCAAAAGATGCAATTCCGTTGCACCCCTCGTGGAACTACGTAATTTTCACATGAATAAATAGATAAAAACTTACTTTATCAGAATCCGTTGCTCCCCAAGTGAAACAGGTGCACAATTGGGAGAAAAATCCCTCCAAAGTTTGATATTTTCGCGCTTCGAAATATTCGAACCGCCATTATTTTGGTAGCAAATACGCATGCGCAACTCAGTCAAACTCGCACTGCGCACGCGCAGACTATAAAAATAGATTCTCACTGGGGGGTTTCCCCGATTTCCTCCGCAAAAACAACAAAATAAAATCACAGAATACTGATCAAACCTTGTAATATAAATACACCCACATTAAATATTGTTAAAAACACATTGTATATTTTGCTTGCTCAGATGCTAAATCACTTCAATTCATTGGCTATTGTTTCAAAATACCGTTTTAACGTTTAATTCTACTTTATATTAACATCCTAATTCAATACAAATTTGTGTGAGGTAAAAAACCCACCTGTATCAAACAGGACGGAGAATAAAAAATATATATGCATACAATTCACACGATCAAGGAACAATTAAAATGAAATATTTGTGAAACACTCTTTATCCGTTTGCCGACGCTGATAAGACAATATGACATACCGAAAGATTGGAAAGACAAATAATATGATAACAGTGTTTCCAAGTTCATCCCGGGCTTTAAGGGATATTTATATAAACTCAAAATTCATAAAAAAAAAATTAGGAGGAAATATAAAATCCATAATTTCATTATAGCTATCTATAATTGAAAGAAATGTTTTCATCTTTGAACCCAGATTTTCATCAGAGCAATAAAATTCCGCTTATTGGATCCTGGCCAAGGGCTTGCACGCTCAAAACGAGATTGCATGTATTCTGCAATAAGCTGTCCTGGCTTTTGTCTGGTAAAGTTCTACTTCTCGTATTTGAACTATTTCATGTATTATATTTATATTGTGACATAAGTTTGTATTTAGCCACTATCTAGAATAACAAGGAACGATTCAGGCTGGTTTTTCGCGTCCACACTAGTTGACTTTTTCTTATAGATTTGCTGCTGTGAGTTTCAGCTCCTCCACCAGGGTGCGTTTTAGCTTCTCAGACATGACTATACTGTTAACCCTGTCCATGAGAGGGATATATGTGTTGATAATATAAATACTGTGGATCCGAATGAGAATATCGAATAAGTAAATAAATACTGATCTACTCCACTGATAATACCTACATGCATTACCATCATTGTTCACCTCAAATCATTAATAATTCATGAGCAAATTAGCCAACCATATTGCTTTATTTTGCTCACATGATAATACTGGATACTTTATGAAGTATATTGATCCTGTAGTGTCCTAGGACTGGATAAAAATTAATTAAGTAGTGATTTATTCATGATGTCATTTCAAATCCTCCAATTCGGACTGGACTAGATTTCAAGTCCTCACATTTTGATCCAGTCCTCTGCTTCGCCTCGGACGTGATCAAATTGCGTGGACTTGAAATCTAGTCCAGTCCTCATAGTCGGATTTGAAATATTATCCATTGTCAAATCAGATGCCAATGGTGGCCAAAGAAGATTCAGTTTTAGTATTTCTTGCACCTTTTGGTGAAGAATGAATACAGCATTGTATAGAATTTGTAACTCATTGACTTTAGAATTTCCCTCAGTTTCTGTGTTGGAATTCACATCATCATCATCATCAATGGTACAGCTCTCTTCATCAAAGTCCTCATCACTGTTTTCAGACTTAGGGCCTGTTTATATGAAAGCCGGGCTGGCCTGATAAGCGAAACAGCCTGGTAAGCAAGATCTCGCTGTGTAGTTATTTTATAGTAAAAATTATCATGCGTTTATATGGACAAGCAGGCTGGCCCGGGTTGCCAAGATCTCGTTTGAAAGAGGCTAGATCTCGCTGACCGGGATGGAAATTTCTCCATATAAACATTTACAAGCGGGCTATCCTGGTTGCCAGGATGAAAGTTCAAAGATACCGCCGCAAGCTATTTTTAACAACTGTCAAAACAATACAATGTAACAAAATTGTCCTGGCAAGCGGGATGAAAGTTTCTCATATAAACACAAGAGAAATTCATCCCGCTTACCGGGCTGTCTTGCTAAGCGGGCCATTCCGGCTTCCATATAAACAGGCCATTAATTGACATATGTTCCTCAACCAATTCAGAAGAATCCAAATTTTCCACATATACAATCTCACTAACATTTCTAATTTTCGGTACACAGAACACAAGTTGGGGATAACTTTTCATCAGTCGTTGCTTGAGTTTAAAAGCTCTATATTTAGATGCATCCACATTCTCAGTGTCCTTAGCAATAATAACAAATTTCTCCAGCAAATCTTTCATATAGTTTATTTGCTTATTTCTGATGACCTCCATCTCAATTACTTTCTTACAGAAATATACATCATAAGACTTCTCGTACACTGATGCTCTCGTTGCTTCTTCGTCTCTCTGGTGAGAAATATTGTATAATTGCAGTAGCAAACTTTGTGATAGCGGATTTCCAGAGCTACACAGTTTTTCCCCTGGATTTGCATGAGTATCTGTTGATCATTCTTTCTCTCGGCAGCTGTACGTAGAAGACCAGCATCAATTGTTTTTGCCAACATGAGTGAGGTTCTTCTTCTCTTCAGACTCTTCTTAGTTACCTGGTGTGAAACAAACCATACCTTGTCCAGTGAGAACCACGAGGCGTCTCTTCCACAAATATAACATATCTCTGGGAGTACATGCGCGTTTCTTTTAGGCAGGGCCTTTATATTTATAGCTTCTGCGACTGATTGACGTGTAATTTTTCGCCTTGGTTCTATTGCCTCCACTTCCACGTGTGATTCTTCGGTAGAAGTTATAGTTTTAGAGCTAGTTCCTTCTCCTTTTTCTTCTTTTCTCTGTTATCTACGGATCTTCGGTTCATCGCAAAATCTATTCTAGCATTTCATATGATGGTTCCATTCTAAGTTAATGGTGTCAGAGTTCTTCTCGATGCATGAATTGACAGATCCGTCATCGATGTTCTCGTACGATTTCTTAGCTATTTCAGCTTGTTGACACTTAAGTTTGGCCCATTTTGACCTACACTCAAGAAATTTCTTAAGCCTTTGGCGTGTAACTTTGGGAAGTTGCTCCGTAACGCCATCAAAATGCATAAAACATGAGGATATTCGAGTTTTATAAATATCTTCAGCCATGTTTATTTGCATAACTGAGCGTGTTTCCACTTCGAAGCATGTGCGTTGGTTGTGCGCGTGCGCAGTGCGAGTTTGGCTGAGTTGCGCATGCGTATTTGCTATCAAAACAATGGCGGTTCGAATATTTCGAAGCGCGAAAATATAAACTTTGGAGGGACTTTTCTCCCAATTGTGCACCTGTTTCGCTTGGGGAGCAACGAATTCTGATAAAGTAAGTTTTTATCTATTTATTCATGTGAAAATTGCGTAGTTCCACGAGGGGTGCAACGGAATCCGTTTTCTAAGCATCTTTTGGATGCTCATCCCACGGCCTATAATAACTATCGGCCTGCTATATTTAATAAAACGGTTTTAGGCTTATTTTAAGGCCTGCTCATTTATCTTTCGAACAAATGGTCATCCGTGTCTTTAGTGCAAGTAATAACTGCACAGGAGAAAATTTAGTAAAACCTATAATTTTTAGATGCCGCTTAATTATACAAATTTACTATGATATTCCATAGGCGGTTACAATGTTTGAGTTTTCTTGTTCAAACTTTA